AAGCCACACGCGAAGAAGTGAAGTGGCACATGTGCGACAAAGCAACACCGCGCCATAAAGACAGAGTCTCGTATTTTAAAACTAGAAAAAGAGACGACAAAGCGCAGCGCCAAAGAAAACGAGATGGGTCGAAGGGAGCGACAGAGAGCTGAGTCTCCAACCTGACTCACCCTCTCATGAGCCACACTGACTCTTAACTGTCGCTTTTCAAAAACACTCTTCTTCTCTAAGCTCCTCCCACTCCTCTGCAGCATCGTTTCCATGGTAACACACTCCTCACAGCTAGGCCGCTCCAGCCTTAGGGCAACCAATACAAACACAAATACAGTTATAATCATATTATTATAATCACTTCTGTACAGCCCATAAAAAAGAGAATAGCAATGTAACCTTTTTTTAAAGAAAGGAATATTTTTTCCATTGCATTTGGAGATTGGATAGCAATGATGATAGGGTTGTTGCAGACTTTGAAGTACGAAATCTATTCTGACTCTCTATTCCATCCATGGTTGTGTTCTGTGCATTTTGTGTACGGCATATTGCCCTGATTTGTTAACCAAGTGATCTATGCATTCTGGGATGCTTAGCAGATATGGGACCTGAGAAAATTACTGTAGCTATTTGGGCAAGTTTTCCTAGAAAGCATTTTGGTTTACCTTTACCCTTATGACTTTATTTTCTGACCCTTCCTGCATTCAAATATATACATGAAATTGCCACGAAAAGTTATCCAGAATGTTGTGACTGAATCTCATCAGTACATGAGGTTATCAGTAGAGGTAATTAGTCCCCCTCCCAGGGAGTCAGCTCCTGGCTGAACAGACATACTATTGAGGCATTTTGGCAGCTCCGCTTTCTAGATCCTTTACTGTTCTTCAGCAGTGTGGGTGTATATGATACGTTCCTAATTTTGTGGAGATCATTTCACCCTGGATCTCGAAGAACCTAGCTTATTCTGCAGTGCATTTTATGTCTGAACTCAGACTTTCCTGGGACCTTTTTTTAATGTATTGCATACCCTTAGACATAGGGTGCTGTACACATTGGCTATATTCATTTTTTTGCTATTGTGGCCTTGAGTTGGCTTTGAATTGTGTTATATGGTCAGTGTAGAAGGGTCCTAGACAAATATAATGGTCTCTATGTGGAGTTGCTTTAATACTTGTTGTTTTGGAAAATGCCTAGTACAAACTAACCAGGTTATTTTCTTGTGTGCATTTCTAGAACCATATATCATATTCTTGAACTATCCAGAGTACATAACTTTTCTATTTGTTTCCAAGCCTTATTGAATTGCTGGTTTTGATCTATAAAAATATGCTTGGGGCTATGACATTTACATTTGAGTTCCGGTTATGTGTCCCACTTCCTGGAAAGCTGATTTTGGTGTACCTCGGGATAAGATATTCTGCATAGCAGTGGCATAATTCTAGTTTTCCTTTTCCAGAAAAATTTGATTGGTTCCCTATTAGCTTTTACCCCCTGCAGCCTTTAATCGGTTTTATTGTCTCAACAAGAATCTTTGGATCCGTGAGATTTACATAACTGTTTCCTTACTATGCAGCAGTTGATTTTGTTAGTTTCCTCTAACTGATCCTAGCAATATTTAGGCAATAATGTTCTGCTTTGTGGTATTAAATTGCTTCTTACTGGTTACCATAAGTAACATGTGGCATGGAGGCACATACATGTACAGTTTGTTATTTAATCTAAAGGAGTTGTATTACTTCTGGAATTACTGCATTTTTTCTGTTGATGAATTACCTAAAGCATTCATTGCCTAGATAGACATATCTATAAGTATTTACATTTTTTAAAGTAAATTCAATTTCTTTTTAGTCATTGGAATCTGTCCTTCGGCATCCTACGGATAATCGCACACAAATTCGGGAGCTTGGCCAAACATTGATTGATGGAGGAATCCTTGATGAAATCATCAGTGAAAAATTGGAGGCTTTCAATGCTCGTTATGATGAATTAAGCCATATGGTAAGAATTTGCGTTTCATCATATCAATGAGTCTCACTTGTAAGTTGTTTGTCCTGAGGTTCTTCTACTGATGAACATTGTCATTACAAATGACAACAAGTAATTATTAATAATTTTCTTCTTGCTATAGGAAAGTCTTTGGAAACCATAGTTTTCAGAGTCTGCTCACAATCTAAGATTTGTTTTACCTAAAATGTGCATATTGTTGTTTTGCAAAGAAAGCAGCATTTATTGCACAGGATGATGGAAAAAACAGCAACTTGAACATACTTGGAAACTTCTCTATCTTTTGGCTTTTGATGTTGTGAATATATGACTTTGAATGAAGCTTGAAATGAGGGTAAATCACTGCCGTTATATGGATTTCCTATTTTGAGAATCTCTCAGTTGTGTATCTTTCAATATGGCTCCCCTTGATCTCAAAAAAGAAATATTTGATTACAATCCTTTGGCAGTCAAAAGAAAACATAAAACATGGAGTCTGTTCTTATTTTATTTCATATTTATATTTAGGGTTGTGTTTAGATTCAGAAGTGTTTTGTATTCTCCTTTTTAGGTAGTAAGCAGGCAGATTTCCTTGGAGCAACAGCTTCAGACAATGCGTGAAAGCGAGCACATGTTACAAGTCCTCCAAGAAAGCTTGAAGGATCTGGATAAACAACTAACTTCCTACTTGACAGATAGAATAGATGCCTTCCAAATGCCACAGGAGGCACAGGTATTTCAAGGTTTTTTTTTTGTTTTTTTGCAGTCTAGGATTTTGAGTTGCAGAATGATGACAGATTGCCTCTTGAAAGGATCTGGTGCTTTATAATTCCACTGTGCGAGTATGTGGGAGGATGCATTGGAGTCACTGCTGTAATGGGCCTAATGACTTTGAAAGAAGCAGCCTATCATCAAAGCCAGCATGACTGATGCAGACATGGCAACATTCATAATAGAGTTCTGCAGTGTGATTTATTGTTTTTAAAGCTGATATCTGCCATGTGCTATTTTCCCCTTTCCTAAAATGACTTGACAGAAAATCCAAGCTGAGATTGCTGCTCATGAATCTACCTTGGAAGAGCTAAAAAAGAATGTGCGGTCATGGATGCCATCCTCCCCAGAGTGCAGATCTCCTCGTGGCGGGTCACATTTGGATGCTTTGCAGGTGAAAATAACAAATTATTCAACTTCAGGGGTTGTTGTTTTTTTCTTTATGGGAAATAATATAATAGAATATATTTTTTCTAAAAAGGACAGAGTGCATTTGTGCTATGAAAAATCTCATTCTTGTGACTTGAATTATTTTAGTAGTATTCTAGATTGCTCTTGGTTTGTATTCATTCATTTAGTCTGGGCAGGCTTGAGAAGGAAAGGGCTAACATAGTAATTATCTCTGTTAATGGCCAATTACACTGACCAACACATATTTTGGTGCATCAGATGTTAGACCAGATTCTGGGTTTATTTGTCCTCCTGATTCCAAAAAATGCATCGGCCTTCCCTTAACATCTCTAGTTTTTGAGATAAAGAACATAGTCATATACCAGTTGCCATCTGCTTGCATATAGAAAATCATGATATCTAAGAAACTAAAGTTGACGTGGTTGATTTTCTGAATCAACGCCCCAAATATTTTGGAAAATGGCCTTTTGGAAATCATAGAAACCATGACCTTTCAGAGAAGAGCCAAAAATCCTATAGAGTAGAATCTTCTCTTTAGGTATACAACCAGATATAATTATGCTAGGCATGGTCCCAGTTGTTAGAGCGCATAACCTGTTATCTCCGATCTGTTAGGAAAACAGAGTTTTTGCCATAAAAAAACAGAAGAGCTTTATAAGTGTTTTTCAGTGAGATAGATAGATATTCTCCTTGTGCCTGAAATTCATGGGTGCACTTGTTTCTTGTAGAATAATTTGAGAGAAGAGTACGTAAATAAACAATAACTTTATTCTTATACCCCGTCACCATCTCCCGAAGGGGCTTGTGGTGTCTTACATATGGGACAGAGTGTCCATGAGACATAAAATAAAAAACAATCAATTAAAACAAAAATACCATTTTAAAAAGCATCATAAAATACAACAGTCCAAATAAAAACACACTAAACAGAAAAGTATAAAAACAAATTACATTGAAGCTCCAGACAAGGTTCAACAAAACCAATGACCAGGATTACTAAGATGGGTGTGACCAAGCTATTAATGGGACAGGCAAGGGATAGTGCAAACAGAGTGCCATAGGACCGAGGAAGTGGATGAAGTGCAGAACAGAGTACTATATGGCAACCTAGGGACTGGGCATTTATAGCTAGGGAGGGACTAGTCGTTCTCGAGTGCTTTCTAGAACATCCAGGTTTTCAGATCATGTAGAGTACCTCAGCATTTATGTAGAGTACTTCTACATTTTGTCCCACATCTTACCTACCACAAGGGCTAGATAATTGGTTATTTTAAAATGAAAGCTTTGAATCTGTGCCAGATTATAATCTCAACAGGCATTAAGTGGCATGTTTAGGAACTTGGCAAAGTCTACCCAAACAGGGAGTATAGCAGCCCTAGTGGATGTTGGTATTGTCAGTTATAAAGGAGAATACATAAAGAAGGGGAGATGGAAATATCAGAAGCAATTTAAGGTGCAAGACTAGAGAGACAATCTTGGGAAGATAGGTAGAGCTAAGTACCCACCTGCCTGTTGGAAGTACACAAAACCAAGGAATATCTTGCTAAGAAAGAGGGATTAGAGATCAAAGCAGACAGCACCAAAAACAGACAACTGAAGAAACTTAAAAAGTGTATGTACATTTTGTGTAGTGGAAAACTTTTCTGCCCTTGGAAATATTTGCTTCAGCAAGTTTGAGGAAAAGGTTACTGTAGTCTCAGATACACAGGGCTGCAAGTTCAAGTAAATGATACTATGTATGAAAGACTAGTGTGCAGAGCGATTGAGAAGAGCAAGATTCTAACAGTGGTCTTTCTATTTTACCCTAAAGTCAATAGTAATTTTTCTCTGTGATTTTTAGCGGAGTACAGGAGGCAGAGACCAAACTAAGGGGGTTTAAAGCAGAGTTGGAGAAGAATAAAACAAGACAGAGAAATAAGTAGCTCCAAGAGTTTGACAGTAAAGTTTAGAAATTAAATGAGACACTTGTTGGAGATGGCAATGGACTGAGGGATTGCTTTGTGAGGTGAGCACAGTTGAAAGAGATCCTGTGTATGTGTGTGTTTAATGAAAGCAGGAGAAGGTAATTTTATGATAGGATAATGCCATGAGAAACAGAAACAGTAGTTGGGAGGGAGATTTATAAGTAAAATATATGTATGAGTGCATGCATTAGATTAGAGCAAGAAAACAGAAAAGTATAAACAAGAGAGGTATGGAAAATGAGGAACTATTTAAGGGATATGTAGAATATGAGTTTTTGAACGTGTGTGTGTATGCACAGATGAAAGAGAAATATTTCTGATCAGAGCTTGGATGTTTTTTTCTCTCTATATATACAGAGAAAACTCCGGGAAGTATCCACAAAGTTCCAACTATTCCAAAAGCCAGCAAATTTTGAACAGCGAATGCTGGATTGCAAACGAGTTCTGGATAGTGTAAAGGCTGAACTCCATGTCTTGGATGTGACGGATATTGACCCAGATATAATTCAGTCTCATTTTGATAAGTGCATGGTAATATTAAATTATGACTGGACTTTCCCACCTTTTGTTGCCTTGTATATTTTCCCCTTTCTTTATGAAGCTTTCAGATAATTTGTTTCTGTGGCTCAGAGAAAATGGAAATTGCTGAGATCTGCAGAAGCACATTTGCAAGACTGGGAGAAAGCTAGGATGAAAAGAACATTGTAACATTATACTTTCACTGTATTTTGTTTTAAAATGGAAATAATTAAAATGGAAAGAATTAACCTACATGATAAAATGCCAGATGAGGCAAATATTTGCTTATTAACAATTCACAGTGTTCCCTTGCTACTTTGTGGTTCACTTGTAGTGGATTCGCTGTTTTGTGGTTTTCAAGAAATATTAATTTTAAATCTATATCGCAGTATTTTAGCTGTTTTGCAGGTTTTTGTCACCGCCGCTCTCCGAGGCACTTTCCCTCCTCAGTCCTTCCTCCCTCCCTCCAGCCTTGAAGGGCATTCCCTTCCTTTCCTTCACTTTATTTTAAGTTTATAAAGACTTAAAATAGTGTATAACTACAAAAATAATGTATAAATACTAAAATATATATGGCGTCCCTATATTGCGGTTTTTTACTTATTGTGGAAGGTCCCGGAACGTAACCCCTGTGATAAGTGAGGGAACACTGTACCTTAATTTTGTCTCAGTTCAAGTATCATGGGCAATCCATGCATTTGCTAGTTGGTAACAGTTGGATTGATGTGCTCCAATGACTTCTTATTGCATGGGCAGTTTGGACAGTTATCTGGGGGCCCCACAAGCATATGATCTATGCACAGACCAGAATTTTACACTGAGCTTCCAATTACTTGTCCCAACATTCAAATCTATCACTAACTTAGTAGAAGAGGGAAAATTATGGCTTCTAATGGAGAGTTGGCATGTTTGCATTTGTGAGAGAAATTGTACTGTTTTTATTCCTTTCAATGTTATGGGGACAACAATTTCTGACAGCGTGCCTTTCCATTATTGGAAGCAGAACACCTGCTGCTTGTGTTCACAGAGTTCTATTTGTATGGTGAAAGGTTAGAGGAAGTGTAAGAAAGTGAAATGAGGAAAAAGAAACTGTAAATTTATTGCATGATATCAATAAATATAAGTTAACTTTATCAATAATGTATATTCTTTTACAATTTTACAATCTTCTCATAGGTTTACATAGTCATGTAAAACAATGGCTTCTATGAATGCAATTGAATGTGAATTTGGTGTGTGTGATATCCATGAAAATGAGGTTGAGTGGTATTTAAACTGAGTGGTATTTAAACTGTAATCTGTCTATGATATTTGAATTGGATTGCTGTGATATTTGAATTGTTTCATTTTATCTTGACCTGTTAAGCATTCAGAAGTAATATGATACAATCAATCCTAACAGTTATTGGAAAGTAATAATTATGTTTGTTGTTTTACATGATAACCAAAGTGCATGTTGTCTTGGCTCTAGAAACTCTACAAGACCCTCAGTGAAGTAAAGCTTGAAGTGGAAACTGTTATCAAAACAGGAAGACAAATTGTACAGAAGCAACAGACTGACAACCCTAAAAGCATGGATGAGCAACTGACAGCACTGAAATTTCTTTATAATGATCTGGGAGCACAGGTAAGGCTTGTCATCTTTTACTAAATGCAGTTTTATTTTGCTATGTAATCCCAATTTCAATTGACAGCTTCTGATTTATTTCCTGACACCTATCCAGGTTTTTATGATCACTTATTGTTGTTGTTGGCACCAGTCTAGGGTTTTGTGCTTGTTGTTGTTGTTGTCTGCTGCCAAGTCAACTTTGAAAGAGATCTCTAGACTTCCAAGTCACCCTATCATCAACAGCTTACTTATATGTCCTTAAATGTCCCTTTGAATCTCTTGTTGATTTATAATGACTCTATGAATGTTAATGGCAAGGAATACTTAGATGCCTTCCTTTCAAGTGTCGTTCTTTGGAGGACTGTCTTCTCACACATGAAATTGCATTTTTGTTGTTTATTTATTTCTATTACACCTTTTTCTTGGAATAACACCCAAGATGCCTCATTGCGTGGCTAGTTGAGTTGAGTTCCACTGCTGGGCAAATAGTGCAGCAGTTCTTACTATGAAGGGATATCAGTTCCTTTATTTTATTTTATTTTTTAATATCACATGGATTTGGTCCAATACTGTCACTGCTACCTATCCTTTGCTTTTGAAATTATACTCTATGTGTTTTTACATTTCTGGTTCCTCATGCAGGTCACTGAAGGGAAGCAAGATCTAGAACAGGCACTGCAGCTGTCATGTAAATTAAAGGATGTATCATTCTCCTTGTCAAAATGGTTGGAGGCTACTGAGGCTGAGTTAGTACAGAAGTCAACTTCAGGAAGTTTGCTTGCTGATTTGGACTCTGAAATTGCATGGGCCAAGGTAAAAAAAAGATAGCTTCCTCTTTTCTGTTTCAGCATTATTTATTTTTTAATGGATATTCTCTCTGTTTCAACCTTGAAGCAGCTGTAAACAAATAATCATGTAGCTAAACTGCAGCCTACTTCAAACTCTCCAATATATGTTGAATGAATAATAGTTGAATGGACAAGAAGGCACATAAATTTGTCAAATCAATGGTAAACCTTCTCAAATTGTCTTGAATTGGATCAACAGTCATTCCCATTTTAGTGATCTATTTGAAAACCCATTAGCCATACATCTGAAAGGATAGTAGCAGGTGAAGAACAGTTTGATAAGGTAGAAACCATGGATTCAGAGTCATGAAAGAACTTTACAATGACAAAGAGCTGCACATCAGTGGGATGAACTTCCTTGGAGGGCAGTTGACACTCTCCTTCACTGGAGCATTTCAAAGAGATGACCTTTTTCATAGATGCTTTAACTGTGGATTTTCAGCAACAAGGGCCTGGGCTAGATTAACCTTTGGAACCCTTCCTTGCAAAAAAAATAGATTTCTTTCATTGTGTTTCTGGTATTACAGTTAAATATACCCAGTTCCGGTCAATTAACATTTATACGCCATATTAACCACGTGTTTTTGAAGGCTTTCATGGCCAGAATGACTGGGTTGCTGTGAGTTTTCTGGGCTGTATGGCCATGTTCCAGAAGCATTCTGTCCTGATGTTTCACCCACATCTATGACAGGCATCCTCAGAGGTTGAGTGGTCTGTAGGGGATCCACCCAGAGGAAAGGTGTCCTTACTGTACATCAAGGGAACCACTGACCGCATAGGGAAGCTGATGAAGAAACACAAGATACAAATGATCTAAAGACCCACAAAGAAAATCCAACAAATGCTACATCCAGCAAAGGACAAGAGGGATCCTCTCACCTCTGCAGGAGTCTACCGTATACCATCCAGCTGTTGACAAGTCTACATGGGGACCACCAAACATAGCACCCCAACATGAGTCAAGGAACATGAAAGGCACTGCAGACTAATTCAACCAGAGAAGTCAGCCATAGCAGAGCACCTGATGAACCAACCTGGACGTAGTATATTATTTGAGAACACAGAAATGCTGGAACATTCTAACAACTACCATTTCAGACTACACAGAGAAGCCATTGAAATCCAAAAGCAAGTGGACAACAGAAAGGAGGAAACCATGAAAATGAACAAAACCTAGCCACCAATACTAAAAAAAAACCTTCTAAAATCAGAACAGTAAATATAGAGCAAGATTCAAAAAGCAGGGCAATTCCAGACAAGAATCAATCAGGGCCAGCTAACATCTCCTAACAAAGGATTCCCCCAGGCAGCAACCAGCCAGGCTTTGAAACTGCAGACCATTAAATGCCAACCAAAGTGGCAAATTGCAACATTCACACATACCTCTAGCAGACAAGAGTTCTTTCCCCCACCATGGATATTCCAAGATATATAAGTCACATTTACTTAGTTTCCAACAGACCCCTCAACATCTGAGGATGGCTACCATAGATGTGGGTGAAATGTCAGGAGAGAATGCTTATTCCATACATATATAAGTCACATTTACTTAGTTTCCAACAGGCCCCTCAACATCTGAGGATGGCTACCATAGATGTGGGTGAAATGTCAGGATAGAATGCTTCTGGAAGATGGCCATATAGCCCGAAAAACTCACAGCAACCCATATCTAACCATTGTTTGCAATTGATTTTTAGCAAATGCAAGAAAGAATTTCATGTAAGTTTGAAAGCCAGATTTTGGAATAGTCCCTAACAATTTTGTTGCTGTGCAGATGGCACTCAATTGTGTGAAAGCATTCAGGCTTTGGTGATTGTAAGTAGAAGCTTAGCATTTGGAATATTTGGCATTTCTTCCCACATGCCAAGTTCCAAAGCCATTGCACACGACCGCTATTATTTATCCTTTACTCCTATAGAATACAATACAAAACAGTGGCATCTTGGCAAGCTTTGGAGATATTTCATTGGCTGTGAATGTGAAATCCTACTATATTTAACTACGAGGTTTTCTAAGCTCATCATAGCTCTACTCTTCCTTTACTGTCTTTTCTCCAAGCTTGAAAAGGATGATTTAGCCCCTTAAAGATATCTTTGCAATTTCATTGCCTTTTTTCTAGTCATTTGAAAATGCTTTCCCCCCTCAAATAGTTGCATTTCACCAGCCAAACATAAAGGGCACATTTAACACAGTGCCCAGAAGTGTGTTTCTTTTTCCATTAATGTAATACAGCTTGTTTTAATTATTGATTGCTATTTTAGAGAATGTCATGGTTAGTCAATTATTTGCCTAATTGAGTGCAAAAAGTCATTAGCCTACAAGGAGACAGGTTGTGTACAGGGAATTGATGTTGAAATGGAACAGGATAATTTCTTTGTATATTAAAAAAAAGAATAGGAAGGAGCTCTGAATTGTTTGGTGTGCAATCTCAGAAAGGGAATTATCAGTAAAACCAGCAGCTGCCTTCATCAAGTCGCCGGAATGCTTCTGCGTGTTGCTCATAAAAATTAGCAACCATTGAAGGATTTTAGCCATTCATGAGAAAGGCCAAGAGTCAACGTTAGATACTTCTTTATCTAACATGGGGAATATGATTTTCTTCCCTACATTTTCACACTGAAGTCCTGAGTTAACACCAAAAACCTCCTCTGGCAGTTTTCAGGGTTATCTGCAATAGGTTTTCATGGATCATGTATAGGCAGTGTGGTGGAGAAAAGATTGCTACATCTGGAAAAAAACTACAGGATCCGTTGGAGTTTCACAATTGGATTTGCAGAAGCATTGATCTGTGGAGAAGATTTTAAATTTTTCAAATGCCAGTTTGAGGCCATTTTCAAATACAAGCAGTCCATGAGTTACGAACATCTGATTTACAAACAACTAATAATTCTCAACAGTAGATGCTATTAAATGAATTGTATTTTTCCTGAAAATTCAGGGTTGAACTAAGCAATCCCAACAGCTGTATAAGAGACCATGTTTTCTTTTAGGAAAGGAAACTGAGGCTAATTCTACTTCTTTTTTTGAACTTTGAAAAGTCTCAATTTAGTGGAATGTGTGGCTGCAAAGGCATTCTCACGTATTTGAATATTCACTGATTGTGATTTATTTTGGAATACATTTAGAGCTGCCTTATGTCACATGAAAAGGCAAGCTGGCTGATTTAGAAGCAAAGACATATGTGGAGAATGTTTTGATGCCATCTTTGACTTTGCAGCCCTAAGAAATATGGTGCCATTCTGTTAATAGTTCCTGTTCCTTTTTAGAATGTGCTGAGAGAACTGGAAAGGAAGAAAGTTGATCTTAATGCTGTAACAGAGAGTAGTGCGGTCCTCCAGACGTTAGTGGAAGGCTGTGAGACTACTTTGGAAGAAAAGGTCTGTGTTCTTAATGCTGGCTGGAGCAGAGTCCGGACATGGACAGACGATTGGTGCAACACGCTTTTGGTAAGCTGTATATGTGAATGGTACATTTTTGTCTTTCAGGTCCAGTGATCTGCCTAACATTAAGGGTTCAGAGGTATGAACGTAAACATAATGGAATGCATTTATGATAATATCTTCATGTTGCAGAGTATTACAAAATGAGGAAGTGCTTCTGAGGTGGGAGATCATCTCCCAGCCTGTCTCAGCAAGGCAGGCAGAGATGGAATTTAAGTTGTCAAGTAACTGAAGGGAGAAGGCAATAAAAGTATAAAATGATGATACAATATGTAAAATCCACCGTGAAAGTGAAATGCCTAACTACAGAGAATTACAAGTCTCATTCAGCTCAATGGCGCTCCTTTGCCGTAATCTTCCCCCTTGCTTGCACTGGATTATGTTGTTCTATTTTTTTTTGTTGGGTGGGATGTTAAGAGTTAACCTTGGTCAGTGTTAAATGTGTCACCAAGATGAGTGGGGATGTATAGAGGAGTTAGTAAGAAAGGGTTAATACCTCAGGGAAAGGGGTTAATAGTTAAACAACTGGTTCATCTAGTGCAAATACATTTAGATAAGAAGGTAGAAATTGTTGATTCTAAATTTCTATTTATGTTCAAGTTAAGTGATTGCAATGGGCCCCCGGTGGTGCAGTGGGTTAAGATTTGTTATTTGGGAGAGGAACCAAATTTCAAGAAACCTAAAGTCATTACTCAAAACTATTTTTGAAAGCCTGGTCGGTTTTGAAAACAGGTTTCCCATGCAGCCTTGAAAGATATCTTTCTAAAGATGTAAGCAGAGATTCCCCTTGAGAGTACAGAACTAATTGGAACTTGACCTTGATGGATAGAGAAATTGGTTGTTTCATATTTTATCCACAAATTTTTGTCACTACTGAAACTGCTGTTTGAAAATAATCTCACAACTCACTGGGGATTAGAATCATGATGAATTATTACAAGTTTTTTTTATGAACTCTTCCATATGAACAACAGGAAGCAGGACATTTTAGTGACATTGAATTCATTGTTGAAGTGCTGAATACCATGGAATTCCCTTTCAGGTTTTACAGCAGTTGCTCAGTTATGTGTATCTCATCTAGTTGTAAGCAATTCACATGGTAATGTTTACTGTAATTATTATTAAAATGGATTACCTTGTAGTCCCATGTTGGGATGCATAAATCTACATGAACTGTGTATTTAACATAAAGAGTAGGGTACCTAAAATACTGGTAAACCCTCCCCCCCCCCCAAAAAAGCTCAAAACACCAGTTAAGTACAGAGCCTCACTATATCTCATTGCTCATTCATTTCCAAAAGCCTGGAAACGGTGGTCTTGTTAATAAAGTAGAAAGTGCTCTTTTAGTTATTGGGAACCATGTCACTGAAACCTGTGAAACAATGACCCATTGGCTCTTCCATTGGAGCTGAAGCTGAAGGTAGCAGCAACATGGAAAAACAAGATGAGGAAAAAATGAGAGCTGTGGACAGTTATGATGTTTTGTTTTTGTATGGTCTTTAGAACTAAGGCACTCTAGGATCTCCTGTGGATGTCCAAATTAAACTTCCCAGAGTGCTTTGGCAGCAAGGATCCCTACCCATCATCAGCAAGGCTACAGAAACCAAGGAGTACAATATGATCGTTGTATTTGTGGACTTTACATTCATAAGCAAAACTGTGCATATGTTCCTGCACTTCCCATACATATACAAAGCTGTGAATAACAGCAAAACCTTTTGAAATTAAGGACATTTGTCCCAAGAGTACCACAGAGTTATGCTGAAGGATCTAGAAAATGCTCAGAGATTCTTTATTTTCTCAGTAGTGAATAAATGATATGAGAGTTGTATAATATGCGCATATGGCCTCATCTCCCTGTTGCTCCTTCCTTCTCCCTACATGACCGCAAAGAAAGTGCATTGGTAATGTAATGGATTGTGTAATAGGCCAACAGGATCCTTTTATAGCACCTTGTCTTGGCTCTAATTGACAGCTAGTACAGATTCTTTATTATGAACTGATGTAAGTTCTACCAGATCAGCTGTCAGCACTCAGGCAACAGTGGCAGCTTTTGAATGTCTTCAAGGGCAGGACCAGAAAAGGATACCTTGTAATAGGCCATTATTCTATTTATCTGGGCAGGAACACTATGCACAGCAGTTGTATTTGTATTCCAATGAAAACTAAAAAATAGCCATTCTTAGCCACTGAAACTATCTGGCCTCAAGTGTAGAAAAGAAGCCACTGGTTTATCACTTTTTTTTCTAGGGAAAGTTTTGAAACACACAGTACTTCAGTTTTGTCTGAATTCAGCTTTAACTTACTGATTTGCATCTAGTTCATTATCACCTCCAGACAACCACGTACCACCTGGGTCTTGAGGGTGACTGGCTAAGTCAAGCAATAGGTTCTGCACATCATTTGGAGAAAAAAAATACACCCTGTAGCTGATTGAGTAAAGTTGCAAATTATAGTACCTTGCACACAGCAATTTTAAGAACCTGGAAACCACAGTTCCGTATGTATATTCAATTCTGTCAGTCAGCTTGCAAATATAAAAATGTGTCAAGTGAATATGCTGATAAAATATTTCAATGGCTTTTTTGAAAACCAATGTTTCCCACAGTGTCTAAAAAGTTGTTCTCTTTCCATCCATCTTTCTCCTTCCACTTGAAATGTCAAAACCATTGCTATGACATTGTAACCTGACAAGTATGTATAGAAATTAATGAAACCTTAGAAATAATATATTTTGGTTATTGTAAGCAGCTTTTCTATCAATGGCTTTCCTAACTTTGTAATAATCTGATGCGGTTTGACTTTGCCTGGTGATGATTTTTAACACCAAGAATCTTGATTGAATAATGGATTCTAGCCCTTTTTAACACAAGGAGGACAACTTATGGTCTATGAGCTGGATGTGACCCTCATACCCTGATTTGGGATGTGTGTGTGTGTGCATAATTTCTTTCCTGCAATGTTCAATACTGCACAAAGCCTTTTGGATTGTTGACCATTTTGCCGTATTTTCAGATATTTGAGGGTTGTTTCACTTTTCACTGCACAAGCTTTTTCAAAGCAAGGCTGCCTGAAAAAATAAGGAAGTATTTTTGAAAAAAAAAGTTTTGTATAACCCCACACAACAAAAAATGAAAACCTTCCTAAAATATGGTTAAATGACTAATGGAACTCCCTAGAGAGTGTTTTTGGCTATTTTCTATTTTAGGGTGTGTGATGCATGAGAATAACATGGGGTTGTGTAACTTTTCAGCATCAGATGTAGCTGACCGCTAATGCAGCCTCCTCAGCAATTGCCCATATGTTTTAATATACTGTATAAAGTATCCCAAGAGGCAATATGCTGTAGTTATTTGCTTATTGAATAGAATTCCAGGAAAACAGTTTGAATCCCCACTCAGCCCCTCCCCCCAATGATTTTTAGATAAGTTCCTCTCAGTCTCAGAGACAGATAAGGGCAACTCCCTCTGATCAAATCTTGCCTAGAAAACCCCGTATCAGATTCAGTTTAGGGCAGTGTTTCTCAATCTGGGGGTCGGGATGCTGGGGGAGGGGTTGTGATGTGGTGTCAGAGGGGTCACCAAAGACCATAAGAAAACACAGTATTTTCTGTTGGTCATGGGAATTCTGTGTAGGAAATGTGGCCCAATTCTATCGTTGGTGAGGTTTAGAATGCTTTCTGATTGTAGGTGAACTATAAATCCCAGCAACTACAACTCCCAAATGTCACGTTCTATCCCCCCCCCCCCCAAACTCCACCAGTTCTCACATTTGGGAATACTGAGTATCCGTGCCAAGTTTAGTCCATATCCATTATTGTTTGAGTCCACAGTGCTCTCTGGATGTAGGTGAACAACAACTCCAAAACTCAAGGTCAATGCCCACCAAAACTTAGGGTTACCTTAAGTCAGAAATGACTTCAAAGTAATCAATCCAACAACTCATTCACTATTGACCTCTATTTTGGAGCGAAAGTATGACTGATGCTTGTATGTTTTTCTTGGAGAATATGAGTCAGATTCATGGACACTGTTATTTATAGCTAGCCTCTACCAATAGATAGGGTGAATGTCTCATGTTTTTGGGGGTGAGCATTCGTGTGAGCCTTTTACCCATTTCTTGGAGGAGAGTGCTGGACATATGCACTACATGTCTTCCATTCTATGAACTTGTCTGCAGACTGCAAGTGTAGTGGACTACACTCTCATATTTTAAGTAAAATTCACATGCTGGTCTAGTTCACCTCAATACTTGGTTTGTGGAACTAGGATGCCACTTCTATGTGTATCCCTTTTTTTGTATGGTGAGACAGCAAATATTTTGCCTCAATCAGCAAAACATATTCAACTAACCTTGCATAGAAGTGGGAAATAGAAAATAGTGGAATGAGACATCCTATTTCATTTTTATTTATGTTTGTGTTGATGGATCTATTTAAAAATCTTAGCATCCAGTGGGCCAAAACTCCCAATAAATGTGATGATGGCTGACTACTGCTAAGGGTTTCCTATCAAAACAGCTAAACACTTGCATTTTATTGATCTTTTTCTAGGTGTTTTTCATTTATTTATCTTTGATTTTGCTTTTCAGAATCACCAAAGTCAACTGGAGATTTTTGATGAGACTGTTGCTCACATAAGCACTTGGCTGTACCAAGCTGAAACCCTGCTGGATGAGATAGAGAAAAAGTCAGTCAGCAAGAAAGAAGAGACAGTGAAGGTAGCAAACCACATTTTGTCACTGATGTAGCTTATACAGAATACTCTATGAAATATTGCCAAATTTCTCAGTTGATTTCCTTCTCTGTTTAGTACAAATCTTGCTCTGTTCTGAAAACTAAAGCCCATACTGTTTTTCCTTTCTTCTCAGCGCCTGACATCAGAATTGGATGACGTTAGTCTCAGAGTTGACAATGTGCGTGACCAAGCTATTGTCCTGATGAATAGTCGTGGTGTGTCGTGCCGTGAGCTTGTGGAACCCAAATTGGCTGAATTGAACAGGGATTTTGAGAAAGTGTCACAGCACATCAGAAGTGCTAAGGTGAGGATGGAAGATTTGCAAAGTGAGACTTCTAGGGAGGTTATATGATTCAATGTACCGCAGGTCTACATCCAGATAAGTACACTGCACTAAGGGGATTATTTCATTTTTGAACTGAGCTAACAAATCTGTGGTCAAACGCTTCTTGCACTCAGGACTCTGCCTGCACATCAGACATTTTACTCCTGCTGGCATGCTGTGCATATACAATTACTTGTGCAGGGTGCTGTTATTGTTGCTGTTGTTTTGTAGCATTAGCACTCTTATGAACAAAGACATACATACTAATTTGTGTATATGTTTTTTGTGTATTTTTCACTTTTATGCCAGATGTTTCTCAACCAGGAAGGCCATAAAATGTTTATCAAACAAGATCTGTATGGAACTTCCATGGCTTCTGCAGATCTTGATAAATTTGAATGTGAGTTACAGCACATGCTGAATGTGGTGGAGAAGCACATGGAATCAAAAGAAGACGATGAAAAGGTTTGTGAACACAGCATGGAACAGAATAGCTCCTTTGTTTTCATTTATACT